ACAGAGCAAAGCAGAGCACTCTGTCCTCGGCCAGGGCAGCAATATCATTCCGAGGACAGGCCACCAGCCCACCACGCGCGCACCACACGCGATCCGTACGTTTTGCGGCGAAGCGAACGGAGGACGCGACACGGCGTCCCCCTTCTTCCCCCCGGTGGGTGTGCGTGGTTTGTGGGCGCGTGTGGTCGCCGTAGTTAGTGCATGCCCGCGCCGCGCGCAACGACGATCTGGGACGCGCGCAACGCCATCGCGCGGAGCATCGCACGTCCACGAACGGGTGTGGGGGTGGGGACGTACGTGGGGTGTGGCGGGGAGGGGAGAGGAGGCGCCGCTACGCCCGCGCGATCGATCGTGTCGTGCGGTTGATGTGGCGGCCACGCGGAGGGTGTGCACATGGCTTAGCTTGTGTCATCTCGGCCACCGTGACGCCGCCCGCTGGTGGTCCGCTCTCCTGCCGTGTCCTTTCTGCTGCTCCGGGTTGAGGTCTTGAGCAAAGCTTAGCACAGGAATTCGTTACAAAAAAAAATCTTTAAAATTACAAGATCAAAAATTTTAATGATCTGTTCTGTTCTTACTTACATCTCTGTACTTCGGTCCAACACATATACATGGTTAATTAATTCAGTATTCTTGATTAACGTGGAAATTGCAAAAAAAAAGTTGCATACCAAGTGAAATAGTGTGCGTACATTCGGATTGTTGCGTCAAAAAAACACAAAAAATCACAAATCTTTTCAAGAGGTCCATATTATTGGAGGAAGGTCATGCACCCCTTCACCAGAAGCTACCAAAGGTAGCGAAGATTGACGACAATGATGCAAATCGCTATAGATGGTGAAGTCCATAAAGAGCGACGAGGGTTACTGTCGGAGAGTGGATCTCTTCTAGCAGGGAAGCAAGAACCCCCTTTTGAGATTTGGCCAGGGGGCGAGTTGAGATCAAACTCTTTCATGCGATGAACCCTAACCCTAAATGCGATGAACACCAAACACGACCAACTATACAGGTTCAGCCCACTCTATCCTACTCCTGTGTTTGAGACTATGTGTGATGTATGCATTACAAAGTTCTTACAACGAGATGAACTAGGGTCGAGCTCAGTTTTTTCAGAACCCAACCCCCTTCTATGTTATCGAACTCCTCCTTTTATACCCTAAGGAGAGCCGACAATTACATTCTTGAATGGGGAAGCGACTATGCTCGGTCTTGTCCTTGTTCCATATCTATCACATTAGTCTAAACGTAATCATTGTTGTTAATCGGGCCTGCGCTTGTGTTCTGAAAGGACTAAGCAGGAGCCTACGAAAGCTAAGAAGGCTTCTTGCTCCACGCCTCCACCTATCCTGAAACCGGGCTCAATGGGCCCATACAAGGACACAGTGGATTGGCTGCCCACCTTATTGCTTTACGGCAAAGTCATGCACCGCTCACCAGCACGCGGCTCATTGCCCTAATGTTGTTCCTTCGAGTGACGCGGCTAGCTTGATTACTTCATACCTTTGCCACCTCCTTATTGCATGTAATTGAGATATAACCTCGAGTTGTAATTCTCTAGGTTCCACTCTGCTACGGCTTAATGCCATTGTCCAATCATCGGGCCCACCGCCCTGCGTAGACCGCTGGGAGGAGATCCCGAGCTAAGCCCGAGCAGCGAGCGTTGCCGACGAAGTTCCTAGGTCTAGCCCAAGCGAAAAGCACTGCCAGGCTTGCCTTCCAAAATGGTAATGACATGTCTAAGTCTTACTTTAGACCTATATCAGTGCCTCGAACCACTGTATCTCTAGGACAAATCGTGCTCCCGGGGCACGGTCCACGCTTGGGGCCCACGGGTTCTCTCAGGGCCCCGCGCGCTCCCATGTTGCTTGATGGGAAGTCTTCTTAACTTTGACAAGCTTCTTGAAGATGCCGTTGATGAAGGAGTTCATAATGGACATGGCCTTAGAGGATATGCCAATGTTCATATGTATCTACTTCAGTACCTTGAACATATAGATCTTGTATGTCTCCACACTCTTTTTCATTCTTTGTAGATGTAAATCTTGTATGTATTGATACTCTTCTTGAGGCTTCCTAAATGAAAACCTTAAAGGGCGTCGGTGCCCTGGACCCCTGTTGGATAAGGGCCTGGGATCCTATTTCACACCAATTGTCATCTTCCACCTATGTAGTTTTTGACTTTGTGATGAATTATATATGTGATAGAAAGTGATCTTGTGAGCCCACGGTATCCCAGGCCCCCGGAGGAATGGGGACCTCACTTTCCCATTTCTCTAATAGTTACATAAGGTGAGAAAGACCACCAGGAATAATGGAGCACACCCTCGAAGATCACGAAGACCGTTAGAGGTGGCGAAGGCCATTGGAGTCGAAGGCAACTAGGAAGCGACTCTGGTTGCCGTAGCTCTTTTTAACGTACACAATCCATATAGGATGGACAACCTAATTACAATCCATTAGGTCAAGAAGGCTAAAAATTCCTGAGTTACTCCGTAGATATGAGATGTCCCAATCAGGATATAGCTGTAAAATCACTGGTAAGGTCATGTATAAAGGTAGAGTCCGATATGGTATTTAACATACATATTATTTAGAGACTATATCACTACAATAGTTGAGACAACAAGAAATATTAATCATTAATGCACCAAAATATTTTTTTACTACCCTTCTTTCCTTTTCTCTACCCTCCTACAACAAAATTTATTTTAATAAATGTTAAAAGTCGACTATGAGCTGTTGTCATGCATAGCAACCTTCATTTTCTTTCCTCTCATCTCTCTCTTCTACATCATCAAATTTATTTGCATCGCAACAAAAAGAGATCGCTATTACATACGGTTGTACATGCCCTAAGGAAACCTTTGGACTATAAATAGGTCCCGAGATCCTGTAATAAGCAAGTTTTTTTAAAAAAATAACATATATTGTTTCCTTATATATTCCCAACAACATTGTTGTCTTCGGCCACACATACTTTTCAACAAGATAAAATAATTTTCATAAACATCTCCAACCTACATCTTGTAGCTTGTAGCAATAGCCAAACATTACTCTTAAAAAAATATCCATAGTTTTAAGTACCTTCATTTACAAAAAGAGGCTTTTCCGGTCGAAGTTCATGACATGAGCTTGCAACTATCAACGAAAGCGGCCTTCACTTCCGGTGCAGAGGAGACGAAAGATGACTTCACAAAGGAGCAGAAATTGATCATCTACAACTTGTTTTTAAGTGGATCAATCATGCACTACTCTCGATTACATTGCATCTCTCCCCTCCTCGCGTCCCTTCTCCCAGAAATCGCCAGCCACTAGGCGTCGTACGTCGCCCTAGATCTCCAAATTTTAAGCGTCGAAAAGCTCTGGCCAAACCGTCCCCAAGACGTCGTCGTCCTCCCCTCTCGCTGCAGCACCTGACGAGCACCGTAATAAAATGACATGGAGAGCCACTGCATCCATCCAGCACATATATCTTGGTAGGTAAAACTTCAGGAAGCGAGCGAATCCAAACAAGAATTAATTAAGGATCATCATGCTAGTAACTCTCTAGGATTTGTGTGATAGAAGCGTAAACAGCAGCAATAATTCAGCTAGTGAGACAGCGTAGGAATCAGACTTCCACCATGCACAAATGGGCGCAAGCTTTGCTGGAATTTATGGAATATTGCCACTGTCAGCTCCCAACAACGCCATTATGGATGATACTTAATCAACTTTGATGAGGCGTTAACGTTTTCTGGACACGTACTCAGACTGCCGTCCTATCTCAGTCGTTTAGTGCCTTTTGCATCATACCCAACTCTGAGGGTTTCTTTACAGTAGTACTACTGTCATGGCCTCTTGGGCGACTCTTTGTTATTTGTTCACTGTAAAGACGTGATCAAGAGCAACTGGACAGTCGCTAACACAATCTTTCTTGTGGCCTGTTGCTGTAGCGAACTAGTGGCTGACTCACTGGTGCATGGGACACTCCACTAGCTGACATAAACTCATTCCTAATCCTAATAGCAGGTACAATGGCAGGCTATAAGCCAGCTATAAACATATGTTAAAGAGATAAAGGAAGAGAGAGAAGAACAGCGGGCTACAGATCTGTAGCCAGCTGCAGCACGGGCTCCAAGATGTAATGTGTGTATGACAGGTGGGACCAAATATTAATAGTATAGTAAGCAACTATTGTATGAATTGGCTATAGATGATTTGGAGCTAGTAGTGGGCTGCACTATTGACCTTGCTCTAAGGGGATATAGCAACTCATTCCTAATCCTAAGGGATATAGCTGAAATAAAGATGGAATATAAAATGAGCAAGAGAGATATGTAGATGAACTAGCAACTGAAAGTAGAGTGTGAGCATTGCACTGTTTGATGATCTTAACACAAACCAGCTGGAGAAATTTTAGGAAATTTACTACTAATAATTGTTACTGAAAAAAATCAGGCTTGTGTTCTTTTCCTAGACAAATTTACCATCTTAGATTTTTTTTTGGTTGAGTAGATCATAAACTGTGGTGATATATATCAGCATCAATGCATCATGGTATAAATCTCACATCTTCTTCAAGAATCTGTTCATTATACTCTGTCTGCCAAATTTCGGCTGACTGGATATTCTGAAAACAACAGAGCCACCAGGAAACACCAACTCAGGTCCTCTCCAAGAAAGAATATTTATCCTGTAGATGGTTGCTGCTGATCATATATATTCGCAATCATGAGGACTATGCCCATCGACGCACCGCGTCTCCTACCTGAAAGGCTCAAGCAAATAATTCTCATCCACTTTGCCCTCGATTTACTCATACACATGCAGAGTGTGTGCCCTACCTGATTCCTCCACACACACACACATGCATATAGCCCACTTGTCCAAATGGCCACTACAGAAAAGAGAAGACGACGAAGAAGAGGCAAAAATATTCTCATATTTTTTAGCAACAATAATATTCCCATTTCCATTCGCTGGGAGCAAAAACAAACAGAAAGGAAATAGAAGAACCCAACTTTTCTCAAGAAACAAAAGGCTTAATTAGCAAAAGCTGCCCTTGTCATCGTGGCAAAAAGTTACAAATGTATTAATTCTCTACAAAACTATGATCTTGGTTGCTGTTTTTCTCATGGCAACGGTTATCATTTATGATCGTTTGTCATTGCAAGAATTACAGATAACCCCCACAAAATTGGACCTTGATGAGGAGGTGTGGTTATCCAATTCTGCTCTGTTCTATTTGGCGGCAACAAAGAACTCCAGCTTTTCTCGAGGGAACCAAAACAAAATTGCTGTGCGTTCTGTGTTCCACAACAATCACAAGCAACTCTGAATCTCTGACGATCATGAGATCATCTCAACGAGGCATCAAAATAGACCTAAAAACTACATAAGAAAAAGAAATGGAAACAAAACACATCACACCTCAGGGATGTGGTGCTCATCTCTGTCTCTCTGGCTCTCACTGTGCTCACCATTCTCACCATCCTTGACGAGGCTACCCATGGCGACCTCCTGCACCTTCTTCTTCTCGTCGTCGGCCTGATCGCCGTTGCTGCTGCTCCGGTCGCCGAAGGAGGAGGCCCTGCTCGACATGGGCGTGGCCAGGTAAGTCGGCTTCACGTCGCCGGCCATGATCACCAGTATCTTCTCCTCCCATATCGGCGGCGGCAGCTCCGACGCTGCCGGCTTCGCGCCGTCGGCGGGGGCGCCGCCGTCGTCGTTGCCGCCACGGCCGCCGGCGCCACCCTCCAGGTAGCCGGAGAGCTTCCAGTACGAGCAGGCGAGGATGAGGAGCGCGAACGCGATGAGCCCGAGCATGGCGGCGAGGCCGCCGAAGAGGTACGGCACCGGGGAGTGCCACGCGGAATGCGCCGCCGCGCCGCCGGCGGCCACGGGGGCCACCACGGCCGCCTTCGCCGCCGCCACCGCCGTCGCGTTGAACCCTGCTCCTGGCCTCATTGCCTCTGCTTGTTCTTGGATGGAAATGGATGGATGCTTCGATCGATCGATCGATCTCCTCTCGGGTAGGAGAGCTGATCAGCTGGTTCTTTGTGCTGTTTTCTTGAGAGGCTTTTGCTTTGCTGCAATGGTGTGAGAGCGCAGTGCAACCGGGTGGAGGGGTTATTTATAAGAAGGGGAAAGGTGAGAGGGAGAAAAAAAAAGGAGGGAAAAATTTTGTCACTGCTTGTATGGATTTGTGAATTAAATAATTATAATTGTGAGGTCACTTTGAGCGTACTGTATACGGTTTTAGTGCTGGAAAATTGCAGCAAGGGGCTCATAAAGGTTCATTATTTTGCACTTCAGGCCATTTTGTTGGTGTTGTTTGGTGCAAGGGGGTGCCGATGCAATTGTAAAATTAAAGAAACCTATTGTGCGCTCTATGTGCAATCCTTTTGGCACACTTTTTGTCTCCTTTTAATTTCTTTTCTCAAATGTTATGGGAATATTGTAGCATTAGAGTACTATTGGATCATGGGGGAATGCGCTTATCCACAAGAATGGTGCCGATTAGCGTTGTTGAGTCGCTGCAAGGTAAGGGTATAGTGTGCATGGCAACGAGTTATATATCCCACTGAGAAAAGCATAGAGCACCACCCTAAAATAATAGAAACTTGGTGTTATCGGTTTTTAGCTTGAGCACATAGTTTTGAGCTTTGCAAGCACAAGGTCTGCTTAATTTAACATGGAAGAAAAGCATGGGCATCAAGTTGTAGCATCAAAATGTATCATACTTTTCCAAAAATATATACTTTCTCCGTTCATACATAATTAAATATAAACATTTCTAAAAATTTGGTAATGTGATTAAATTAGTGGAAGTTATATATCACTGCTAAAGGGGTGGTTGGTTAGATTAGAAAAGTAGTACTCCATAAATGTTTATATTTATTGACAAATTTTGAACGGTAAAAGTAGTTACATTTATGGATAGGGGAGTACATTTGAATAGATATACATCCTATATATGATACTATCGGAGGCATAAACAATCTCCAATATGGCCACAAACATGTACACGCACCAAATACGCACATATATGTGGGGATGGCTTATTGGCGCATGCGCGCTAGCTCGCACCCCTCCCATGCGCCAGTTTTTTTTCGCGATTTTCCTTTTTGCGCTTTTTTCTGATTCTTTTTAATCTTCAGCACACGTGATTTCAGATCTTTGAGTTGAAAGTTTTCAATCTAGGCTTAGAAGTTTTCAAATCTCGAGTTGAAAGTTTTCCAATCTCGAGTAAGTTTTCAAAATTGTATTACAAATTTTAATTTTGAGTTAAAAATTTTCAAAATTTGACTTTAAAGTTTAAATCTGAAGTCAAATGTTTTCAAATCTGACTTGAAAGTTTTCAATCTGTTAGAAAAAAATTCTCAAGAAAAAGGATAATCCTACCTAAATTACCGTTGTTATCTAAAACTAATTTAGTTAGTTAGGCTAACTGCTCCTGGAAATCGCTCGCCACCAATGTACACGCGCGAGCTAGCTTTGCTGCATATATGTACACTCCTAAAATTGTCTACTCTCTTCATCCCAACATATAACAACCTAGTATCGGATTTAACATATCCTAAAACTACAAATCTAGACATATGCATTTCTAGATTTGTACTCTTATGATATATCAAATCTGGTCCTTAGATACTATATATGGACGGAGGGAGTACAAAATATCAATGCTAGCCCTGGCTACACTACCGGACAGGGGTGGATCCAACGTGGGTACAGGGGATACCCCCTTCAATTTTTTCACCATGAATGATAAACCAAAGGTCCCTAATGTTAGTGATATGCCCTAGAGGCAATCATAGAGATGATTGTATCACATACTATGTTTACATATTTATCCAACTTTGTTCCTTAAAATAGATAAACTCATTATTGGTTAATGAATATGTGATTCTTTCATGAGACTCTTTATGTTATGTGTTGCTATTTCTAAAGGATCCCTGATCAAATATCATATGTGGAACAAATATGTTTAAATGATCAGCACATGTATTAATTGATGATCATGTCTCATGGATCATGGTATAGAGATACCAAATTAATAATGTGGACACATGTTAGTGAACATATTGTTGGATAGACCCAACATGAGACACTGCAAGAGCCATATGTGTTGTGTCATTAGTGATCTCATTTAGTGTTGGTGTTGAATTCTTAGACCTGAGATTATCATGGTTCCCAACATGTGTAGTAGCTTACTTAGGGACTGCTAAACGCTACTCCGTAATTGGGTAGTTATAAAGTAGTTTTCGGGTATGCTATGAAACATGTAGTGGGATATAAATAATCAAGATAGGATTTGCCCCTCGTATGGAGAGATATCTCTGGGCCCCTCGATGTTATAGATTATGGAAGTGCATGGCCATGCCAAAGGTGATTGAGGAGTCAATCACAAGTTATATAATCTATCAACAGGTTCGAGTGAAAGATTGAGCTATTAGAGGATGGCACATATCTAGCCTTGAGCTTAATTGATATCGTGAGGCAAAGGGGTTCATACAAGTATACACTAGAGGTTCAGCCGATATGATCTTTATGTATGCCCGGTGGGTCAATACGTTCTGCTAGGGGCCGCTATTGACGCGTGGACCGAAAACGAGTTTTCGGGTTACAGCCGAGTATATATGAACCTACAGGGTCGCACACTTAATGGGCCGGAATAAGGGGATTGGATGGAGATCCAATATAAGCTTAATTCGGATAGGGATCCGAATAGGAGTCCTACGGGCCTTGGAGGCCCGAGTGATGGATCCTATATATTCGTGAGGGTGTGACCGGCGGAGGGATTACATCACGTGAGAAACCCTAGCCGTCACTTCTCTCCCCGAGCAAAACCCTAGCCGCGTGCGGGTGCTAGCACATCTGCGCGTGGCGTTCCGTCCCTGTACGTGTGGATACCGGTAGAGGCGCCGCTGGTTTGCGGTGCTGATCGGCGTGGGAGTACGGCGAGGAGAACGCACGAGGATGAGAAGGTCGAGCCGGTGCGATCGACTACTTCATCTACATCGACGCGCGCTACTTCGCGAGAGTTCCTTCAACTTCTCAGCGTCTTCTTCCGCTGCGCAACACGTCGAGTGGTAACGATCTATGATCTAATACTTGCATGGTTCCTGGTTTACGCGATATCCCAACACCTAAATGGCTGGTGGTTGAAAAAACTGCGTAATTGAGCCCCCCTAATTTCTTGTTCCTGGATCCGTCCCTGCTACCGGATGAGATGAGCCAGAATGCACCTGCAGGTCGACCTATAACATATCAAACCAATCCCCCTAGGCACATCAGTGCACCACCACCTGATCCGATCATCTGCCTGCCATAGTGCCGAGGAGGTGCGGCAAAGAATCTGCCTGACGCGACGGATTTGACCCCGGCCGTCGTCGCGCGCGATGATGGAGAACCATGCACGTACTACGCGCTAGCCGGTCGCCGGAGCCATCAACTCCCCTAGCTAGCGGCGTACGCGCGCGCGGCCGCCACTACGCGTCTATGCCCCCGGGCGCGTGCAGCCGCAAGGAATCACACCTCATCCACGACGCACGCTACGTCCATCCGACTCGACGCCGTGCCGGCTATCAACCGCGCGCGCGCGTACTCTGGCTGGCTGACTGGCTGGGTGCGAGAGGATAGCGTACGCGCTGCACTCAGCCACTCATGTAGTACTGTACGCGCGCACGTCAGACCGTCAGTACGTACGGAGCGCGCGCGCGCGCTGCATGCGGTGTGGTGGCTGGCCGATCGAGCACTAGATCTGTTCTCGTGCCGTCGGCATATGTGGCACGGCATATGTCGCCCGCACCGCACCTGTGCATGGCAAGATTTGGGCATGTTTCCTTCGGATTGGTTTACCCTGTTCCCTCTCGCCGGAGTGCAGCTTGCAAAAAGTAACGGATTTGCTATAAATGTGTCGCCAGATTTTCTAAGAAAAAACAGTCGAATTGTTGCCTGTACGATATTCATCGAGATTTGTGTCAGTGCAAAGGAAAAAAGTTCAGGCGCAGTTCAGGCTGGTAGTGGCGTGCGTGGGCTGATGAAGCCGCTGGGTAGGCTCACACCACTTACCCACTTACCCACTTACCCACTTAGGCCAAACCACTTAGGAGTAATTGGGCTAATGCGGCAAGCCCACCACGTCCAGCGGCGCCGCCACAGCCCACATCGAGGAGCATCAGAAAGAGGCTGAACGAGGAGTGAAAGAGGATTGGAACAAGTTCGTCGTTGTTGCGGCTTGAACCCTAGCTGCTACCGCCATGGATTCGATGCCGCCTCCTCCACCGCCTCCTCCGCCGCCGCCTCCGCCGCCGCCTTCGCCGCCACCTCCGCCGCCGTTCCCAGTGATCTCACATACCTCCACCAGCACTGCCGCTTCCAATGAGCCCTTCAAGGGACCTTCGTGGTCATCGTCGGTCATGGTGGCGCATTCATCATTGCTCGTCGCACCCACTCCGCCCGTTCTGTCAATTTCTGTGGGTGGTGCTATACTAGCTTCTGCTTCAATCCCGTCGACATCTACACAGGTGAGTTCTTGAATTCTTTCCCTTGATGTGGATGCAGTGAAAAGGAGATGCAGATGTAGTGAATCTGAGTAGGTTGAATCCAGTAGCAAGGATGTAATTTTCAGATTCAAACCATATTTAATTTTGTAAGGATGTACGCGTCACTTCACCTAAAAAAAGGAAGATTATCTAGTTCTTGCTTGTCTGTGATTAGTTGCTTTCGTGACATAACAATGTGCAGTTTTGATGGCTTGCCTTTACATAACATGCTTGATGGTCACCTGGGATGTAAATATGTGATATGCCTGTTTGAGAAACATCATTGAATCTTGTACATTAATCTTATACCTTTCTGACTTTGTTTTGAGTTATATGAACAGACTGTTCTATTTGCTGTTCTATTTATGTTCAGCATTATTATGTATAAACTCATTACTATATATACACACTGCTTCTTTTTTCTCTAAAGTTAGTGATTAAACAACAATTTACATCTAACAACACACATGAAAACAAGTTAAAAAAATAATTTGCTTACAGTAAGTCCCCAATTCTGACAAGCCTTATGGTTAGCTCCAATGGTCAGTCGATGC